AGGTGAGGGACCCGGACAGGTGAGGGACCGGACAGGTGAGGGACAGGGCAGGTGAAGGACCCGACAGGCGACAGGTGCATCACCGTCTGACGCGTGTCCCGCTTTGCCCCTGCAGCCGCTGCTACTCCCCCCACGGCGCCTACGCCCAAAGCAAGCTGGCGCTCGTCCTGTTCACCTACCACCTGCAGAGACTGCTGGCCGCCCAGGGGAGCCCCGTGACCGCCAACGTGGCCGACCCGGGGGTGGTCGACACGGACCTGTACAGACACGTCTTCTGGGGCACGCGTCTCATCCAGAAGATGCTCGGCTGGTGGGCGTTCAAGGTAAGCCTGCGACGCTCGCCTGGCGGGTTCTCGGCCCTGCCGTCCGCGGCCCCGGGGGCGGCCACCTCGGGGCCACTTACGCGCGGCCGGGTGCCCCCGTCGGGTCAACAGCAGTCAGCGGTGGGAGCCGCCCGCGTGTGTAGTCAAACCTCCGCCGGTGTTTGTCTACGGGGCAGACGGCAGGTTTGGGGCAGACGACAGGATTCGCGCGCGCGTCTCTGAATCAAAGTCTGGTTGATTTCAGATCGTCGTTTCTTTGTCTGGCCGCTGCTTCCGGCGTCCCTGGCGACCCTTGCGCCCCGGAAGGGCGTCGGAAGGGCGCGGTCTTGGCCCCAGCCTCCCGGAGTGGCTGCGTGTGTTTCGGGGCCCGCCTTCCCCCCTGCTTCGGGGATGTGGGGGTGCTCTCCACACCGGAGTCTCTGGGCAGCTTTGTCACTCTGCGTCCCTCAGCGTCCTTACCAGGAGGGCGCAGGCTGCCTCCGCTTTGCCACCGCGAAGTCGCACAGGTTGCGCCTGAGCCCGAATCCCACCCGTGGGACCCACCAGCGCCTCTGTTTGGATGTTCGTCCCTCCCAGTCCCTGTTGCCCCCAGTGGGGTGACGGCCAGCTGTATCCAAGTTTCCCGGTTTCTGTGCTAACGTCGTGTTTAGAGATCCCCACCCCCCCACCCCCGTTGCCTTTTGTCTTGTTGGGACGAGTTCCTCCATCAGTCTGGAAGGCGTTTGAAGGGAGTCTTGCCTACTGATCACGGTCCCCGCACCCACCCCGTGGGTCCCAACGCCCACCCTTCTCCGCTGATCCTGGAGGGGAAGGCTCAGGTTTCCTACACCCCTGCCCACACCCCTGTGTCTGATCTGAATTCACTCTCCTGCTCTGTCCCTTCCCTCCCTGTGTGTTTCCTTCCACATCAGCTTTTAGGTTACCTGTGATTTGAAGAAAACACAACGGACGGTGAGGACATATCTCTTTACTTACCCAGTGGTCCCGTCTTTCTAGGTTTGGGCTGTTGGCAGATTTTTACGGTAGACTAGAGCCGAGGAGAACTGGGATGCAATAAGGTCGCATAAAATAGGATAAGACAAGAGGAGACTAAGATAGGACAGGATAGGATACGATGGCTGTCAGAGCAAGCTAATCGGGAGGGATGTGTGACTTGATTTGCGGGGGGAGGCGTTGAGATTTCACACTGTGACCTTTGTTGTCCCAAGAGTAAGTTGTCTTTCCTTTCCCGGATGTCTTTCCCCATGCTGCTGACTTTGTGATTTATAATAAAAATCTCTGGTCTCCCGCCTGGGTCTGGCCAGGAGCTCCTAAAACCCTTGGAATTTCCGGCCTGGACAGCCAGAGGGGTGTCTTTTGTTATGCGGATGAGGGGACCTTTGGGAAGCCCCAGTCTTTGGGGGCTGGTTACCAGGGGAACCAACCGCGAGATGAGAGGCTTGGCACTTTCTGCCCCGCCCCCCTGACCTCCGGGGGGGGGGGGGGGGGGGGGGGGGGGGG